TATCAGAAGATTAAAAGATCTCCCATGCTCATGGATCGGTAGGATTAACATAGTAAAAATGGTCATCTTACTAAAAGCAATGTGCAAATTCAATGCAATTCTTAACAAAATACCCAATTATTTTTAAATTTAATTTTATTTATTTACTTATTACAATTTATTAACTTAGTATCACTGCTGCTGCCTATTCCCTCATCTCCTTCCAGTCCTACCCTCCCTCTTTCTCCTCCTATGCCCATTCTCTAGTCTCTTGATAGGGGAGGACCTCCCTCTTCTATATGACCCTAGCCTATCAGTCTCATCAAGGCTGGCTGCATCATCTTCCTCTGTGGCCTAGCAAGAACAGTTCTTTACAGATCTTAAAAGAACAGTTTTCAACTTCATGTGGGAAAACAAGACAAAACAAAACAAACCAGAAAAGCTGAAACAATCCTGTAGAACAAAAGATCTTCAGGAGGTATCTCCATCCTTGATTTCAAGCGGTACTACAGAGCAACAGTAATAAAACTGCATGGTACTGACATAGAAACAGACTTGTAGATCAATGGAATCAAATCAAAGATCCAGAAATAAACCCACACACCTACGGTCACTTGATTTTTTACAAAGAAGCCAAAACTATACAATGGAAAAAAAGACAGCATCTTCAACAGATGGTGCTGGTTTAACTGGATGTCTACATGTGGAATAATGCAAACAGATCCATATTTATCACCCTGCACAAAACTAAAGTCCAAGTGGACCAGAGATGTCAACATTATACAGACACACTAAATCTATTAGAAGTAAAATCCGGGAAGAGCCTTGAACTCATTGGCACAGGAGACAACTTCCTGAATGGAACAACAATAGTCCACGCAGTAAAATCAACAATTAATAAATGGGATCTCACGAAACTGAAAGTCTTCTGTAAATCAAAAGACACTGTCAGTAGAACAAAACAACAGCCTGCAGACTGGAAAAAGATCTTCACCAACCCTATATCTGACAAAGGGCTAATATCCAGAATATATAAAGAACTCAAGAAATTAAACACCAACAAACCACATAATCCAATTTAAAAATGTGGTACAGAGCTAAACAGAATTCTTAACAGAGGAATATCAAATGGCTGAGAAACAGTTAAAGAAATGCTCAGTGTCATTAGTCATCAGGGAAATGCAAGTTGAAATGTCTCTGAGATTCCATTTTACACCCATCAGAATGGCTAAGATCAAGATCTCAAGCTACAGCACATGCTGGTGAGGATGTACACTCCTCCACTGCTGGTGGGAGTGTAAACATGCACAACCATTTTGAAAATCAATTTGGCACTTTCTCAGAATATTGGGAATACCACTCCTGGACAAACACCCAAAATATGTTCCACCAGACAGTATGGACATTTGCTCAGCTATGTTCATAGTGGTTTTATTTGTAATAGCCAGAAACTGGAAACAACCCAGATGTTCCTCAATTGAAGAATGGATAAAGAAACTGTGGTACATTCACACAATGGAATATTACTCAGCTATCAAAAATGAGGAAATCCTGAAATTTGAAATGGAACCAGAGCTGGAAGGTGCCCTTGGAGAACTGGCAGTGGAAACTATGGCGATGTGAGTAGTCCTACTACTGACTGACAGTCTTGAAGCCAATGTCCTCACAAGGTAGGCCAGTATGGAAGCACAGGATGGCAAAACTGAGGTTGTTGGCACAGGCCTCTGGGATGTACTGGGGCATGGTGTGGTCGCAGATGAGGTCAGGGTAGAAGATGTTGAGCTTGTAGCCCTGAACTATCTTGGGTGGCAGATGGTTGAATTTGTAGAGTGTCTGGTTGTACTTGTTCCACTAGAAATCAGCCTTCTTTCTCATAGACCCAGGGGTGGCACCACCCAAAATAGGCTGAGCCCTCCCCCATAAAGTACTAATTAAGAAAATGCCTACCAGGCTTGCCTGCAGCCAGATTTTACAAAGGCATTTGCTCAGTTAAGGCTCTCTCCTCTCAGATGACTCTAGCTTGTGTCAAGTTGACATAAAAACCAGCTGGCACACATCATATTAACTCCCTTTTTGTTCATATATATACATGTATACACACACATATATCCCAATAAAGTTAGAGGAATAATCCAAAGCATAGTGTGCTAGGGGAACCTTTCTTAATTGTTGATTGTAACTCGAGACATTTATTGGATCTAATATCATTTAAAATACCTCCACAGAAATATTTTATATTCTAAGACTGAGAATTATTGCGTCTTACCAACAAAACTCTGATTTCTAAGCTGGTAAGGCTTCCTCTTGAATGGTGATTACTTCTGAGGAAGAATTTTGAAGGATCTAATAACTGAAAACTTGAATAAAGACCACATGCCATCCATGAGAGGGATGTGTGTGTGTGTGTGTGTGTGTGTGTGTACAAACAAAGGCTGAATGTTGGATCTACTGTAAATTTTGTACAAAACTGTTTTCCCTTCTCATTCTACTTGGGCATTTAAGAGACTGTGGAGCCACGGCAAACAGTTCAAACTCTGCGGTTTTACATGGCATGTGATATTGGGATGCTTTTAAAGCCAAATCTCAGTTTCTTCCTATATGTATAATATGGACACTGCAAGGACAAATCTCACAGAGTAGATGGGAGAGGAAATGAATTAATATGTAAAATGTTCATCATAATTCTTTCCATATTATGATATAGTACGTTGTTAGTATTACAGAGATTTTGAGGGCTTAGAATTTCCACCAAAACTACTTTATTTAGGGTTCTTAAGTACTTTTACCTCCCTTCCAACCACCCCCTGAAACCTTAGGTAGGATATTAGTAGGGAAAATGGCTGTAGACCTCTCTTATCTACTTCCAGCTGATTAGGTTCAATGGGTCTTTAGGGAGTTACCAAACTCAGTCTTTAGGATACCAGCAGTCCAGTCCAAAGGCCAACACCAAGCAGCAATACAAAGTCAGCGAAAGCTGCAAGACTCAGTTGGATGGCCCTGAGAAGCTCTCTGGATCGTTTTTCTCTGTGAAGTCAAGTGTTGAAGCATGTAGATCAGCGTAGCGATGTCCATCTGAAAAAGTGGAGTCTCATTGTTCGTGGGCCTATATATATTTCCTGTACTCAGAGTCCATACACAGATGTTCTCACCCAGCCAAAGTCATGCCCCTCACATGTGAGAGCTCACAGAAAAACATCATGTGCCCTCTCACAGGCCAACCTGGGCAAAATTTCACCTGCCCAGCTTGCAGAAATCACATGTCAAAACTTAGTCTTCAAGGAAACCTGAACTTCCCACTCCAAGATTTTATTTTTTTCTGAGTTGCAAGAAGAAATGGAAATAGTTGATCTTAAAACTCTTTATCAACATGTAGAAATGGGAAAATAAAATATAATCATTATTCCTTCTGAACTTTAAGTCTAAATAGAACCTGCCTACTATGTCAGGAACTTTTCTATTTGTTCTGCTCAGGAGACTTGTTTTACATTTATTTAAATAAAAGACAGATCTTTCTTTTTATTCTTTTTAGTATTTATTTTGTATTTTTACTTTATTTGAGGTCAGTGCTCCTGGAATTATTTGAATGTAGAAATGGAATTACTTGGGTGTATTTATTTATTCAAATGATGCTTGTTCAATGCTTACTATAATCCACGTTCCAAAATATGAGCACTGACATATTTTAGCCAGAACTTATTTAACATCAATCATAAATTAACCCAATAACTAAATGAAATCAGGTGCAAAAGCATAGGAAATCCTTCATAAGAAAGGCAAAAGATGGGCCATCTGATTATATATGACCTAGTTATGTGTTTTCCCATCATGCTCCAGCTTTCTTACTTTTCAGAGTAATCATAGCAGCTACACTCATGCTGAGAATTCTTTCAGACACATTCTCTAGTTTTTACCTAAAAGTAATCAGCAATCCCCCCACAACTTTCTTCTTCTTCTTCTTCCTTCTTCTTCTTCTTCTTCTTCTTCTTCTTCTTCTTCTTCTTCTTCTTCTTCTTCTTCTTCTGCTTCTTCTTCTGCTTCTTCTGCTTCTTCTGCTTCTTCTGCTTCTTCTTTGCTTATACTGTTATGAGGAGATGGCACATCTTCATTCTAAAAACTCTTTAAGTCAGTACTTGTTTTCTCTCAGGGAATCTGATACCCACAATATAAAGGGTATGCACAAAGCTCACTATAAAAAAATCTTCACCCATGATAGATTATGTCATATCAACTCATAAAATAAAGCCTCCTTTAAGAATTCCTTACATATGGGTAACTAAGTATATTTAAATCCTTTACTTAAAAATAATTTTGTCGTGCTATGACCCTGATATTAACTCAGTACTTCAAGCTTCAATTGCCTTATTTGTTAGAATACTTTAATTCCCTCTCCAGACCTAACATTCTGTGACACTGTCACAATTTACCTCATCTTTATCTAGGTTTATTTTAATTTCACACAGTAAATAAAAGTAAAGCTATTAATTCAATAATTTGTGCACCAGTGTATAAAAAGAGAAGCTATCCTTAGAAAAATAATGTCTTTTTTGGGAGAATGTGGTAGAGATTGTTTAAACATTTTTGCATCTCTAAAAAGTTCTTATTTCAGAAGCAAACACATATAACTATTATAGAAGTTAATTCAAAATGAAGGATTTAGTTTACTGGGTTAGATTATGCAAAATACAAAAGTCTTGTCCATTCCCACCAATCGGACATGTGGGAAAACTGAGTTAACTTCCCCTTTCCGACCTAAAATTTTTTCTGGCACACACACTAAAATGAAATAACTTTATCAATTATGCAACTTAAAGGGGGAACAACACTTATAAACATAAAAAGTTCAAGGATTTCTACATATGCATTTGGAAATTTTCAAAAAGGTTTCCGACTTGAAAACTATCAATTTCTCAATATGGACACAGGGTGGCGCTGCAGGCTAAGGTTGTGAATAACCGCTAAAAAGCTTCCTGGTCCTTTGTGTTGCAAGACAGAATTAAAAACAGGAAATATCGCAAGGAATACCGGTCTCTGGATGGGTCTTAGACCGCGGTTTACTATATGAACAAAGTTTAAGTGCAACTGAGTAAAGACTCCTTCAACCAAGGAATCAGGATTCAGCATTCAAGCCATTCAGAGGCTGCTAAACGATTGGATGTAAGCACTGCGGTTCCTACCATGGAGAAGCTGGAGAGAAACCATCCAAACAGGCAAGTGATACCTTTTCTTCTCATGCTCTTTTGGGGTCAGGTTCTAATGGTGCCTCCTCGGTACACTATCCTGGAAGAAACAGAACGTGGCTCCTTTGTAGCCCATCTGGCCAAGGACCTGGGCCTGAGACTTGAGGAGCTGGCTGCCCGGTCTGCACAGGTGGTGTCTGACTATGACAAACAGCAATTGATTTTGGATCCTGAGACTGGAGATTTGCTTCTGAGGGAGAAACTAGATCGGGAAGAGCTGTGTGGCTCTGTGGATCCTTGTGTGCTGCATTTCCAGGTGTTCATAGAAAACCCAGTGCAATTTTTTCAAGGAGAATTATTGATCCAGGACATAAATGATCATTCTCCAGAATTCCCAGATACGGAAATGCTCTTGAAAATTCGAGAAAACAGCCAGCCAGGCACACAGTTTTCATTAAAATTAGCCCAGGATTTGGATGTAGGCAGCAATGGGATTCAACAATACAGAGTCAGCCCCAACTCTCATTTTCATGTCCTCACTCGAAATAACAGTGAAGGAAAGAAATACCCAGAGTTGGTGCAGGACAGAGGGCTGGACAGAGAGGAGCAGGAAGAACTGAGCTTAACCCTCACGGCAGTGGATGGAGGGTCTCCTCCTAGGTCAGGTACAACCATGGTTCGAATCCTGATCCTGGACATCAATGACAACGCTCCTGAATTTGTGAACACTCCCTATGAGGTGCAGGTCCTGGAGAGCAGTCCCCCAGACTCCCCAATCCTGACTGTCTCAGCAAGAGATGCAGATGCTGGCAACTTTGGGAGA